TTTAGGTCAGCAGTAACAGAAATTTTCAAGGTTCATATCTTTATGCCTTAAGGAGTACACCATGTTATCATCAAGGGTCTTCTCCCTTGCTAGTTCTCTGCTTCTCTTTGTTTTGTTTACTGATATTTGACAGTAAACCCTTGCAGTTATCATCAAGTGCTCAGGCACATAACAAAATTTTGCCAAAGCTTATGCTCTATGTTTCTCTCTTTTAAAAGCAATGAAAGTTTTGTTTAACTGAATACAGTTGACATTTCTTTTATCCCAGCAATCTATTATACGCTTATAAATTCAGGTCAAAAATAAAAAGTAGCTCCAGATAAACTTTCATTATATTAGAGAGATAGCTTTTCTAACCCCTGCCCCATATTATCTCAGATACTGTTATTGCTTTCACTTTAAATAGATGATTCTTCTTTGTGTTTTTAAAAAACATTTGTATTTGTATTTTTGAACCATCTGCCTTGCAAGAGTGCTGTGAGTGCTTGTATTTTTATTTCAACTAGGCAAAAAAGTGAAGGTAAGAGGAAAAAGAGAAGTGGAAGGAATGTTGAAAATTCAGCCGAGGCATTACCCAAGGTCCTGTAGTATAATGTAGAGAATCATGCATACTCTTTGTTGTGATGATTTTAGAGGAATACAGGATTTTGTATGCTATATTGGATTGTGACACTGCACCCACTATATGAGCCATTTTTAGCATTATTATTAATTTTTAAAGTTCACATATGCCAGAATTTGCACCCTGCAATGATTAAAGCTCTGCCCAGCAAACAAAGTATTAATTTTCAGTGGTGCTGGAGTCTGGAGAATACCAATGATGCCATCAAAAATGTGTGTCTTTGGAACTCGGACAAACAAAGAGAAAAACCTTTTATGAGAACATGGGGTTTTGTGTTTTCTGAGGCTGAGTTATTTTTGGCTTTTGTTCCACACTTAGTTACAATCTACTCACTAATTTTCAGTGGAGTGCACACAGTTGTACTGTTTGATTTATTGCTTTCCTGTGTTCCGAGCTGTTTGACATCCTTTGTGCACAAGTACATATTTGGGAAACTGGAATATCATACAGCAGCAAAAGGTAGCTGGTGAAGCTGAAGAGGAAGGCAGTATGGGTGACTACCAGATCTCTCTTCAGACCATTATAGTGGGATTTCAAAGCATGCGGTCACACCTCGTGGCCCTTGCAGTTTGCATGGTGTGGAACATTCCAGATGTTTTTGGCAATTAATGTGAAACTAAGAAAGAAGATGTGTAAGCAAGGTTACATTCATATGCATAACCCTAATTTTTGTCAGCCATTAGTTCTTGTTTAGAATTGAACTTGAAGATCAGTTTGGGTTGGTTTTTTTTTTTCTTTATTGGATGTGTCTTGTCCGAAATGTGTTGCTTTAAAGTTTGTGGAATCAGGCCCATATTAAAATAAATGGGAAACTGCAGTGGCAGCGCCTGTGACACTCAGAGTGCAACTCACCGGCTTGATGAGAGCCACAAGGGTGTTAGTGGGAAGTGTGTGTACCACGTTCTTTTTAGCTACTGCTCAAGGTGTCTGCTTTCTTTTGGCCAGAGTGTAGAAGGGAAACTGAGTGAGATGGACTTTCCCATGCACTCTAGCTGTTCCTGCCTTTTATTTTTTTTTACATTAGACATATTTCTGAATGATAAATGCACACCTTAGAGATGCCTTTTCTATCCACTGATTCTAAGGAGAGTCTCCATGTCTACATTAGATCAGAGAAATTCAAGGAACACTAAGAAATTTTTTTAATGAGAAACGAGAGTTTGTTTCTCAGCAGATGGCAGATCCTTTTCAGAAAGAAGCAGCATGGTTTTATGCTGCAGATTTTCCTCAGGATTCAGCAAAACAGTGCTCTGGCAAGTATCCTTCACCCAACCCATCCTTCTCTCCAAAGTCTGGACTTCTGAGAAAAGCTACCCTGGTTTTTCGCTTGTGAGCAGGAAGCTATACAGAAAGGGACTGAGCATTTTTATTTCCCTAAGCAGACTTCCCAGCTTACCCATGTATCTGCCAGTGGAGTAAGGGGCAGGAATGACATCTTCCTTGGAGGCTCCTCTCCAACGCTGGCTGTACCCAGAGATATGCTCAGCTTCCCTCTTCAATCCCATGGTATCTCTCTATTCCACAGTCCTGTCATCGAGGCCAAATTTAAATCTGAGCAGCGTCATGCGAAAGCTCAGCACACCACACCATTTGTGGTTACTATGTTCATTAGTTTACAACTAGACAGGTAGCTTCATGTCTTTCATATAATTAGGACTGTGAAGGTTATCAAGAACAATATTAATGAAAGGTAAATACCTTTTTTCATGGGAAAAGTTAATTATTAAGAAGGTAATCAAGAAATTATTCAAAGAGTATAATAGAATTTGTAATTGAATTCCAGTAGAGTTCTGATTCCAGGTCCTGGTCTAACAAGATTTATTTAGATATAGAAAAGTAAGCTAGATTTGGAGTCTCACGTTTTGGGTGCTGATTGCCCCCTCACATAAGAGCCACCTCCAAAAGATGAATAGAAAATGTGTTTCCAGTGCAGGCTGGCAAACCTGGTTTTGCAAACAGTGGGCTAGCGCTGTGTTTTCTCCTACCAACTTGAAGAGGCCAGGGTTGAATTTGAATTGCTTGCCTGAACTGTAGTCCAACTCAAATGGCTGGTACTGCTGCTCTGTCTCCAATTACTCAACTTGTATTAGGCAAACTGAATGAAGACTGCTTTTTTGCAGTGCATGCATAACTTTATGTTGATGCTAAACCCAAGATAGCTAAGACCCAAGCACGCTATATTATCTCACCTTCATTTCCTGAGGGCAATGCCTTGTTCTGGTTGCTCGGGCATATGCTGCTAGTTGCTAAGCTTTCTCTGTAACACTGGGAGCTCCTGCTTAATTTCCTGTAATAATTTTCCTGGCTTGGTTATGCTGACCATAGGAACTACCTGCACAGAATTGCTGCTACTAAAATTTTTACCACTATCTTTCTTTCTGTAATGATAGGAGGCTTTCATGCCTGCATTAGTTTCTGCAGTTAATTAATCTAAGTCTTCTAATACTTACTGTGGTAAGGATAGAAAAGCAATAAACAGCGCAGATAAAGGATGAAATGGTTTAATCTCATTAATTAACAAAATACTGAGTATCTGTTGGACAAGAGCCAAGAAAATATATCTCAGCTATAAATGAAGGTGTAGTTCAGTTAGTGTGGTGCTGGGTTGTTTTTTTTTTCTTTCTTTCCTGGTTTTAATAGCAACTTCACATCATAATTAGGAGGATGAAATTCCTGCCAGCCATGTACCTAGTTTGGACAGATTAAAGGGAAGAGGTATGAGAAATGATAATTGCTTTGTGCTCGTCAGACTTCTATTGAAAATCTGACAGGATAATTACAAAATACCTGCTTTGCAGAATGTCTAGGCAAATTTTTAAAGAGCTATTTAAAGTTGTTCGTTTACAATCTGTCTGAAAAGAAAAGTTTTTTCCCCTTTTTGAAGTAGTTCATTACCATTTAGATGTGTGGTACATGTTCAAATATAGACCTTATTCTCATGTGCACGCCTGGCTGCATTCCACTGCCCACCCCCAAAGAAAATTGCCCATAATTTTTTGCATTACCCCACATACTTCGCCCACATACTCACCCTTAACTTTCAGCAGAACATTATTTCACCTGATGGAAACTGTAACCTTGTTGCTTTCAACAGTCTGAATCATAGTCAGATAAATGAATTGAGAGAGAAATGTTCCAGTGGACTACACAAAAAACTCTGTTTGGACTGACAGTAAAAGGTTGTTCTACTTTAAGCACATTTTCATGTCTCATCATATGGCTTTTCTTCACCTGCTTTTGAAACTTGAAAATTACACTCACCAAATTGCCAATTTTCAAAGAATGTTCTAGACGTAGGTGCCAAAACCCTACCGATTTTGCTGAGAACTGAAAGACCATGAAAGCATGACTTTCTACTAAAGTTCACCATCTGAGGTCATTTGAATCACAGGTCCACAGATACCTGCAGAAAGGCAGCAGAGTTGCTCTAGGCACCTGGTAGGCAGGACTAGAGTTAGTGCAGGCTTTTTGGGAAAGGATGAAGAGGCCCTGGTGATTAGTGGACTTGTAACAGATAAAGTAGACCCCACTAATACCAGTTGTTTCAAGTTCCTACAATTCAATGCGAGTCATCCAGTATCATTATTATGAACAGTTGAACAGGGATGACCAGTCTTCTAGCTCCAAGAGCTGTATTTCCCTGTATGGAGGTACTGTAAGCAATATTTCATGATCCCCTGCCTTGTTGGATCGTGCAGCGCACAAAACAGCTGACCAGCACATACAGTGAGTTGAGTACTTTCCAGAACTGCCAGCAATTGCACATCAACTAAGTAGTTCAGGTAACCACATGGAAATCACTGTCTATTTTCTGCTCACCTCTCAGGAAGAGGTAACTGCAATTTGCAATTGCTTTTCAAAATTCTCATGTTTAGTCTCAGATGCCTTCAGACATGACCAGTGTGTAGCCTGCAGACTGGCCAGCTGGTTCTGGCAACCAGGGCAGGCTTTGAGTACCCACTCTTCCCGGTGATGCCAAGACTGTTGTGAGACCACATGTACACCTTTCATGGGACAGGGACACCTGAATTTTGGTTATGTCAGGAAACAGGACGTGCAGACCCCAGAAAAAATGACCATGGATGAACTGCCTTGCTATAGGTAGCTATAGTCAACTAACTGGTGTATTTACATAATTTCCCAAAGTGATGCTTCGGGCCCATAGCTATAAGGTTAATTATTGTACTATTTAAAGCTTACAGTTTGTATTTTATATAGAGATAGAAGGATAAATTAAGTGCTGGGCATATCAATTCTATATCATGTGACTTAGTTTATTGAATTACATGTTTCACAAGAAATGCACAGTTCAGATCATACAACAGAGAATTTTTAAATAGAATTCTAATTTCTCTCTTGCTTTTTTTTCTTTGAACAGTTTATGAAGAACCAGAAGACCCCAGTAACAGATCATTTTTTTCAGAAATTATTTCTTCAGTGTCAGATGTTAAATTCAGTCACAGTGGTAGATACATGCTAACAAGAGATTACCTCACTGTCAAGGTTTGGGATCTGAACATGGAAACAAAGCCTGTGGAAACATACCAGGTAGGTATCTCCTACGTTTTGAAATGCAACAATATAAAAGCATCTCACTGTTCAAAATCTGAATGTTTTCCTAAACCCTCATTGCTTGGCCTGAGAAGCAGCTTGCTAGCTAAGAGAGCCGCTAATCAAGATGGTTAAAATCCTCACAGTGGCATCCTCTTAGTTGGAAAAGGGCAATTTCAGCATTCGTAAGGCCTGGGGAGTCAGGGTAACACTCACTGTGGATTGGGCTCTTGAAAGAAACAATCCTTCTAACAAGGGAAATCATTTCACTTTGGCATCTGTTTTTAAATGATGTATTTCACTATTAACATTTAAAAGAAACTCAGGAAAGGATTTTGTGTGTTGTTTAGCATTCTGCTCCCACTGGGACTGCTGAGAGTTTACACCTTTGTCATTTCAGAACTTGTTTTTAAAACTTCATCTATGCATTTCTCCCTCGTGCCTAGTTTTAGAAGCAATCAGTGTTAAACCCTAACATCACCACTGACACAGCAGTTTGTGAATGCCAGACAGATGCATCTGGTTGCCTGAATTCAGTGCAATATTATCCAGACAAAATGCCAGTGGCTCCAGCCAGCGCTGAGTTTGTACTCTGACATCTGTTCTGTTTGGCAATAGAGGGCTGAGCTTACATTTTTTTGACTCTGCCTTGGAGAAGAAAAATATGTCTGTGACACAGAAGCTGCTTGTTATGGAAATGCAGTGAGAAAAAACTGTTAAGCTACCTACAGGAGAGTATGCAAAGTAGCAAAAATGTCATTCATTTGACTCATAGTGCTTACTTAGAGACAGCGTTGGAACAATCCTTTGCTTTCTGTGTCTATATAATGGCAGGTGGGGTACAGTAGTTCACAGTAACTATGATTAAGACCAGTTTTAAAATAACATGTAATGAGAGTTTGGTAGTGTATCTTGTCAAAACAACCAAAATTTTACTTCAATAATATTGGAGGTATTTATTAGCTAGTATTTAGTAGATGAAGTGGGCCCCAGTGTTTTCTGATGCACCAGTTACATTTTGGTGGATACTCTTCAGTGTGTCTCCTATTAGTACTGGGAAGTCTGAGCCTGTATACCTTTAAAACTACAGAACTGGGTTTGCTCTGAAAGTGGCAGTACTTGTAATGCTAAATGTGTTAGAAATGTTGATATGCTGTGAAAATGGAGTGGGAGGGTACGGGCGAGACTGTCTTTTATATAACAGAATCATATCTTAGATTTTGGGAACTTAGGTATTTTATACTTATGGTAATGGAGTAGACAACCTTGTCCTTGGAGAGGAATAGCTGGTCAAGCCAACCGAAAGACACCTACTTTTATCTCCTTATGTAGGTAGCTGTGAAACAAGCTGGCCACCTTCAAATCAGTCACACCCAAGAGTGGGGCCAAATAAAAAGTTCTATTTCTCCATGCTGAGATGGGAAAAATAAATATAATGCAACATTTTCAGTACTGATTATTGCAATCAGAAGCTTACATAAAAAAAAAAAAAAAAAAAAAAGACCCGCAACAACAAACCCCTTGCAAATATAACAGTGTTCTTGCTGCCTTACTTTAACCTATTGATTGCCTTCCATTTTCAAATACTTATCCAGTGCCGTGTTATGAGAATGCAGATGCATTGCTGAGTGTTGCAGCAGACTAAAGAAGAATCTAAAACACAGGGGCCTTTAGGAAGCCAATAGCATAAGACTCCACACCGTCAAACTGCTCTGGGCAAGCTTTCATAATTTTCAACTGCAGAGAGTAGAGAATTCTGTTAAGAAAAAGTGGTTTAAATTACTCTTTGGAATATTTCTCTTAGAGGTATCTTTCTCTCACATACATGTCTCATACAAACTTGGAAATCTCTCAAGGAGATTTTTGTGGTGGATCACCCAAAGGCAACAAATAAACCTAACATTTTCAGTTATTTTCAGAATTACAGTGACATGTATATCATTAAAAGATTAAAAGATATTAATTAAAAGATTGAGTTTCTTATTTCATCCACTGCATGGTAGCCACTTAGATATTGTCTAGCTGCGAGACTCATGAAGGTCACATCAGGAGATTTCCCCACAGGGTTGTAAGAAAGAGTGAAGTCTGTAACTGTATCGCTTCATTATCAGGTTACAATTTTAGTATCACAAAAAGAAGTCGAATTCCTCATGCAAGTTCCTTTTCTTATCAGTGCTGTGGCTAAAAGAATGCTATTGCATAGAGCAGCTGCTGCAGCCTTACTGAAACATGTCATCTGCTGACAGTGATTCAATATGATTTTCTCCTGTTTATGCTTCTTATACAAGAAAAAAAAGGCCGAGTATGGTGCACTGGACAGCACTAAAAGAACAATACAGTGGAATGGCAGTGCTTGAATGTTGTAAGGCAGCCATGCCTAACAGGATACTCTTCTGGTGCTGCCAGGTGAATTACCCCAGCAGAACCATACCAGCAGCAACCAGAGGTGAACACATTCATAGCTGATAATAGGTTGATCCACTTTTGGCAGGGTCTGTTGCATAGGGATTTGGACTAATCTGTCACTTAACAGTGCAGTTCGTGATTGTGAGTATTCAGTCCCAGTGACATAGTTCCCTGCATAGTCATGTTGCTGTGTTAGTCTTGAGCACAGAATTACTAGATATTTCCATGAAGGCCTGACCTAAAACAGTGCAGTGAAGAAAAGGAGAATGCCTTTTGTAATTAGGAATGAATTTGGTTTGGATTCAAGTAGTATTCACATGTGGTAAAAACAATATGTAACAGAAGGCAAATCTGATTTTACCCTCAATTGGTAGTGGCAGATGAACATGCAAACGAGGTGAAAATTAAGTTTCTTCCAGTTAGTTTTTCATAGTCACTCTGAGGGTCTGAATGTGGTCAAATGGGGTAATCAAAGGGTGCACGTGAAGAGCGAGCTGGTTGTCCAAGGCAGTAGTGCAAGTCTGCAGCATCACTCATGAAAAAGGAGCTGAGACCTTGAAGAGATCAGTAAAAAATCTGAGAGAGGAACTGCAGATTGCTTTTTGACAGAGTTGATAGAAAGGCACAGCTCCAAGCTGTGGAGTTGGACACACTTCGCAAGGGTGTATACATGACAGTGGTCATGACAGATGGCTGCTGGAAATGGTAACAAGAGGAAGACCTAGAAATGACAGTCAATGAGGCAAGTGTGATCTGCTTCCTTCTCCTGCCTTACCCAACCTTTCTATTTCTTCCAAGTGTTAGGAGCTCACAAAGATGATAAAGAACTCCAGTTCTGTAACGTATTGCACTGCTAACATAAAAAAGCTTTAAGTAGAGAGAAAATGAACGGTTTTAATTGCAGAGGGTGCAAGAAACTGCACCAGTACTAAAAGTGTTCAGACCTGTTACTCACCATGAGGGCAAATGCACTTAATTGTGAAATGTTTTATCTGTATCTACCATTTGCCTATTATTTGCTGTATAAGATATTATCTGTTGAAATGCAGCCCAGTGTTCACTCATCTATTAATGAAAATTATTCCATAACTAAAATTTATAATTGTTAATAGCGTTATGTTACAAATATTCTTAGGATACTGTACAATTTGGATATTGAAAATGGGTTAGTTTAAAGAAGATATAAGTGAAAGGTCATTGTCCCTTTTCTGGTCTTGGTAGAAGTTATCTTACTAGAAGAAATGTTTATGCCCTCAGGCCAGAGGAGGATGCTGAGCATCCATGAGCAGGAACAGTCTCCCTAAACTTGCAAGAACCAGTATCTCTGTATGCCAGAGCTATATTATGCCCCTCTGCTATTGGATTGGTATGTGTGGTCCGAGAGGCCATTTACACATCTTTGTTTAGTGTTTCTACAACAACTGGAAGAAAACATTAGGAGTGAAAGTGCATTAGTAAATTCATCTAGGCGGGGATTTTCTAGCTCATTATTTCTTGCAGAATGAAACCAATCATCCAGAAGGAAAACTAATCAAATTCAGCAAAGGATTGAAACAGTTTGCATAAGATTTGTCTTTTTATGATAACCCTTGTTCAGTAGAGATGTGTGGCCCAGAGCAGGGGTCTTCTGCCACTTTTCAAATATGTGAGGATTTACGATGTTGTTTTTAAGTCTCAGCCAAAGAGATATCCTTGAACTAAATTAGTGTTCTAATTTGCAGCCTGTGAAACTGCAACCTTTTACTGTATTTGGCTTCTGAAATACCTTACCCAAATATATATAATACCATACACTACAGGGTCTTTTAATAGAGCAAAGTTCTTTCTGCCACAAGTGAGAGTCCGCTTATCTTGGAATATGACATTTTTGTTACTATTTAAATTAGATTTCTTGCACATTAATTAGCACATCTAGGGTATCAGCTGGTGAAATGTCTTTGGGAATTAGGCTAGCACTGAGAAAATCACCCAAGCAGGAAACAAATATGTTGAAGAGGGGTGGCCTGCAGCCTGCTGAGGGAGGTATGCTTCATGCCTTCCTGCAGCAATAATTCTGTAGCACCTGGTTAACTTGGCTGTGGAAAAGTACAGATAGCTTCTCTAGAGTTTAAACACAGTATCTTCTGCAAAGCTACCAATCTGTGCACCATATTTTGAAAGTGAACGTGGGAGATAAAGCAGAGAGAGTGGTGGGCTGCTGGTGGAGTTTGATATTTTGTTTTATTTCAAGAATAACAACAGTTATTTTCTTTGAAACAGGTCCATGATTACCTTAGGAGCAAGTTGTGTTCCCTCTATGAAAATGACTGCATCTTTGACAAGTTTGAATGTGCATGGAATGGATCAGACAGGTAATCCATCCTTATGTCCATCGCTGTTTTCATTTAGCAAAAGAGCTCCCCTATGATGGGGAAAAGTAAAGCGTTACGCATGGTTATTTTCCACATCAATTTACGTCTTCACGTACCAGTGTTCAGGTTGATAAAAGGTGTTTGGATATTGATGCAGTTGTGTCTCTGATCTCCTTAGACATGATGTATACCTTCTTAATTGTGGCTCATGCCTTAGGGGGAAAAAACCCCTTCAAATTCTGTCCGTTTTCACCAAAATAGGTAGATTGCAAAGGTTAAAAAGAATGCTGCTAACTCGCACAATCACACCAACACACTAAGGAATCTTGTGTGATCCTGTATTTACATGAGTTGCCTCAGAAATTCAGTTCGTTTACTGGAAACAGGGAGCGAGGAAAGGCAGTCACAGGCACAGATTCTCGGAAAACTGCTGCCAAGTGACAGCTTCTTCTGAAGTCTACCTCCATCAGAGCAGTCCTTTTCCCTATGCACTGAAGGAGGGGTCCTTGTTTTTATCTTGGACATAATATCTTGTTGAATTTTCATGACGAATATTGGCACAAGTCAGAGAGTCTGAGCAAGGATGCAGTTCTTTGGGGAGTAGGAATATTGTACAGGAAGAAGTGAGCAGCTGAGAAAACTGGGATAATAAAAATGGATGAAATCCAAGAGTACAATGCAAGGTGAGGATTTTAGTTAAAAGAAAAACCTTCATCTTATCAGTTGGAAACAACTCACTGGGACATTCATATGCTAGGTGACTGTGGAAGGGATTAGCAGTCTACAAAACGCATTTGAAAGAGAGCACAGGAGCCAGTTTTGAATGGCACACAATGACTCCTGGCTCAGCAGAGCTAGGAGCCAAGAGGCAAAAGTTTGGCACTTGCTGAGAGCCTGGAACTGTGCCTTCAGCTCACTTAGCCTCTCATTTGGGAAAGAGAAAAACGGTCCATCTCATTGTATTTGAAGCAGGCCTGCCTCCTGGACTGGGCAAGGACTATGAAACAGAGCGTGGGGCAGCTGTGAAAAAGGCAAATATGATCCTTGAATGGGAAGGGCTGGGATATCCAGCAGAGAAAGTAGTAGTGGTGACATCATGTTGGGGTCTTATTCAAAGACCTTTGGACTGCATTTACACATTTCTTGTCCCTCATCTCCAAGGTGGATGAACTGATTGGGCAAATGGACAGCTGCTCTAAAGAGAAGAGAGGGCAGGAGTGGTTTTGATCAGCTTAGCAAAAGAGGAGCCAAGATTATCTTGCTTCTAATAAGTATATCAAGCACGTATATTTAGGGAGGAAGAGGATCTATCCAAGATAAATGTGATTGATAATGACACAACAGCAAATAGATATTGATAATTATAGCCTGGAAATTAGAGGTAGTTCATACCTGTTCAGACAGTCACAGTGTAGAGCAGTCTTCCTGTCCTGAATAGTGGAGATGGAAGAAGACCATCTGTTTTGATGATGGTGCTCAGGAAATTTGTGAAAGCACAAATACATGAGACATTGGTTAAAACGGCAAGCGTCTGAACTTGGAAGTGCAGAACAAGGTCTCTTCCAGTCCTGTGTTCCACAAATGCAGATAAAGTGTAATGCTGTACACTGTGCAAGGGGCATCTTCTCTTTGCACTACTTTCAGTTCTTCTACCTGCCCAATGGAGAGATTCTGTCTTTACTAAGAAATAAAACTTTTACCTTGTATCATTTATTATGCAAAGGAAACTATATAATTCCATTATCTTTGTTGTCTGCATGTCAGGGCAATGGGTTTTCTGACAAGGATTAACTCAGTATTGAGTATCCCCTGTGATACAGACCACTGGCCATTTAAAATGACATAGGTGGACCACTCTGGGCAAAATACTTCCCAGACTGCTATGACTGCAGCTTGGGCACCGGCTGTCCTGGAAATGTCTTTGATACGGTCAGAAAGTGAGAATGACCCACAGAAGTTTTAGGAAAAGATCCAGGTTTTAAGGTTTTTCTCTGAGCCGCCCAAACCTGTGCATGAATGGATGTTTTAGCAGGGTAACTCAGTAGACTGGTTACTACTTGAGTTTGGTCCTACTAGAAATACCAAAATTAAAGCATTTTAATGGACAGAGTTGATCACTGCCTAAATCTGGCACAGAACAGTGCAATCGAATCATTGAGATATTGTGAAACTTCAACAAAGATTCAGGGCTTTTCAGGTCCTTTCAAACCATTTTGCTTATCCTTGATGGGAATTCCCAGTGTATTGTACAGGATGGACAGTCACTTTTTCCCAGGGCTGGAGTCTTTCTCCTGTAGTCAAATGAAGTGTTGCCATCCTCATTACTGTGATAAGACCACTCTCTGGATAGTTGCCTGGTAATAATAGAAATATTATTCATTATCAGGATTTAAAGTGAGCATAATATTTTCATTCCTACTTGACAGATCAGAAGGATCAATGCAGTGAGTAATTATTAAGTGAGAACATGAGATTGTGAGGGCTTCATTTATTGTACTGCCCAGACACTGAGGCGTTGTTAGTCGTGCACAATTACCAAATCCATCACTAAACACAATACACCACTCTTGATTGTAAGAAACTGTTGAGTAGAGTAGCTGGCAACGTTTGACAAAAGGTAAATGTTCTCTTTAATTTAGTTGTTTCTTTTTAAGTGTCAAATGTATCAGCACTGATTTTCATCTTTTGATGAACATTCACACTTCTGAGGTTCTTGCTTCTGTGTATGACAAGTATTGTATTGTTCTGCTATACAGTGCAAGGATTTTTTTTGGTGGATCATAATTTAAATCATATTTGGGTATCAGTAACTCTTAAAAACGGTTCATTTGAATACTAAGATCATTTAATTTGATCCTTTTGGTATGTATTTTTTAAAAGAGGACTACTGCTAAAAGTAAGCAATACCTATTAATGATAGTACTTCCAAGAGATGCTGTAGTACAGTATTTATATTATTAATACATATACATAACATGCAGCTCTAAACATGTTATTTTTATCTTTTGCAGACTGTAGAGGTATAATGACAATTTAAACCAACAGGATTGTTCAGTTAAAAATGAAAGCATGCTTATTATTTAGGTGAAAATACTTCCTATTAATTTTTGTCATTACTAAGGAGTTAATTTAGGCTGTGATAGAACCTGATGCTGAGGCTGTTTACAAAAGAAATCAATGTACGAGAGCTCTGATTAGAACGTGATTGATGCTCAGTTACTCCAATGAGCAGGAACTAATACAATCAGACAGAGCCGATCTCATTTGCTGAAGGGCACATTAATCACTATGTACTTTGGCAACAGTGGTCAGGGGAGGGAGTCAAGCAGGGGTCTTACACTAATTCAACCAGATGAGCACATATTATCTGTAGTTGAGTATATTACACTAAAATCATGCCGTCTTTATTGCATATACATCATTACATGACTACATAGGATATGTAAGCTCTATTTATACAGCGATTTAATTTAGTTCTTCCATTCACTTCCAAAGTCAAGTCTTTTAATAATGACCCTCAAGACACTGTTTTCTTCCCACTGGCAACCAAACTCATTTTGTTATTTCAGTTTTACCTCAAAAATTAGCACTTTTGCAGCTGTTCATGAGTTAAAGAAGACAGTGAAAGAAAAAAGTAATGTAGTAATTCTACAATAGTAGATACGATAGTAAGTGAATACCGTAATTACTATTCTTTTTTTTTTTAAGATTTCAAATGACTGGGTGCATGGGAACCCTTCCAGAGAGACTTCTGAATACCATCATGATAAGTGATATGCTGTAAGCAGATGAGTGAAGTCACATACAACTGTTCAGTCAGTCCTTTCCTACTGAAGTGTCATTCATTCCACTGAATATCCGTCAGCCTTCACTCTAATCAGGCAGAATTGGCAGGTCCCAGTGGATGAGATGTTAACAGTCTATTCCTGTCTGGCAGCACGCTCCATGCTGGAGAGCTAGATGACATCATTTTGTTCTCAAGGCTCGGCATGTCAAATATTAGCTTGGAAGGACTTGGGGATCCCCTGTTCTTATTCCCAGTCTTATCCCAGCCAGCTGTACCAGAGCGCCACAACCCTGAATCTGGTGTCTCAAGCTTTTGCATGAGCATACTCCCCAGGAGATGTAAAGAAGTTCCATCTTTGTGATGGGGAGTCAGTCGCTTCACACAGTGCAGTGTAAAGGAAAATTCTCCAATATGCCAGCAGTCCCCCGCTGCTTGCAACAGTGCTTCTTCCTTTCCCTTTGCTGTAATAAATCTCATTTTTCATCCCTATGAAAAATGTTTTTGAAGACTTTTCCTGGAACCGATCCTTTCTTCTCATAAGGTCAGCTTGTCACGAAACCAGAGCTGGTGGACCTTGCATGTCAATCCCAGGGCACTGTAGGTGTGCTGTTCTGCACTGGTACACCTGGTAGTGAAATCTTGCCAATTTAGAGGCTGGAAAAAAACCCAGGCCCTTTCCATGCTGGATGCCTTGAGGGTCTCCTTTGCAGAGATTTAAAAGTCTGTCTGGAGGCAGGCTCTGGTGGAAGCTGCCCTCTCAGTCTCCTCCACTCACGCCTGCTTGGATGTGATGTCTTGCCTCTCTTGCCTAGGGAATGATGTTCTGCTGCCTCTTTTGCAGTGAGGGGCAGGTTAGCTGGGCTGTTTTAGTTTGGCTATCATCCTTTAGCCTGGTGTGTGCCAGTCCTTGAAGACCTGCCCAGCTTTAGTCCTGTCGCACAATCCCGTGGTTTCCATGGTCTCCTGAGCAACAGTGAAGGAGGGGAACTATGATGTAAGCTGAATTTCTCCGGACAAGAGAAATCTGCAGGTGAATAAAAATTTCTGTGCATCTAGGAAGACTAATTTGAGCCAGAGTTAGCACAAAAATTACTATAAAAGTCTTTTAAAAAAAACCCAACAATAAAACCAACACAAAACAATGGAAGGCAGCTGAATGGAGGAATTTTGATAAAAACTTGCGTGCAAGGATGGCCGCAACGTGGATGACATT